TTTCAGTTATTTCACCTTTTTTTGTTAAGTACATAACTCCACATGTGTTCATTCATAGTTTTGATGCCTTCAGTGAGAATCTACAATGTAAATAGTCATGAAAATAAAGAAAATGCATTGAATGAGAAGGTGTGTCCAAACTTTTGGCCTGTACTGTATATATATATATAGATCACATTTTTCACGTCACTATATCACCGTTTAGACTAATCTGATGTTTGTAAAGTCTATAAACACAATGATTGAACAAAGATTACTATTTCTGTGTGCACGTTTTGGAATTAATAACATGGTTATCGTAGATTAGCTGGGCTAACCGTTAGCTGTTAGCCCTGTTAGCCGTTAACAGTGTCTGTAATAGGTAATAACTCATTAAACGGTCCGTAAAAAAAGTATTTTTTCCAGTGGATATCTTAGTTACAACATGGTTGAGCTAGCAAAGCAGTTTTGTGTTGCTATGTGGCGTGTCCTTTTCAAAAATGCAAGAGGCGTTGCTTTGTTGCCGGTTGTTTTCGCCGGTGTGTTAAACACAATTTAGAAAGTAGTGTCCCCAGACTATCAGAAGGCGGAGATCTCTGATTGTCTGATGGTGAGACTAGATGATCATTGATAATTCCTGACCGTGTTTGCTTAATTTTTGCTCCTCTCCAGTTTGTCGAGCTCGGCTGATGTTACACAAACACACCTGGAGGTCTGCACAGAAGACTCCTGGCTTTCCTTTTCTTCATCCTCTCCTGATGACCACTCATAATTATTAAATTAAATGTAATTTTGGGGAAAATATCCATCTTCTTGGTGTAACGCTATAGTGTCAGTTTGCATCAATGTAGTGAATGTGACAGTTGGTTAATTAAAGGTTTAATTTATATTTATAACACCTGTGAGCGGAGTGATTTTACTGTTACATGTCCCAGTGATGTTATCAGCACTCACGGACGGAATGCTTCTCATCCAATCAAATTACTCGGTCGAAACTAACTGTTGTATAATTGCCTATAGCGCATCAGTAGGATTGTTATTTTGGTTATGACGGATGTACGATAATTTCTCTCAAAATACGTTAATTTTGAGTCTCTGGTACGATAATCCTACATTTCCCACCTGGCAACGCTGGCTGGAACAAATGATAATTTGAGGCGGTTTGTTTTGAACTTTGGTATACGAAATCTTCTTCCTGATGGGAGAAGTTCGTATTCAGAGGACAGTGGGTGAGTAGAGCCTGAAGAGATTTTTGTTGCTTGTTTCATGACCAACTAATTATACAGATTCTCTATGGACTCATATTGTCTCATACCTATTATTTCATTATTTGATGAATGTGTCGCTGATATGCAAAAATGAACTAAATGACTGTGAGGCAGTGGGCAAGTAATATAATCATAACACCTTTACACACGGTAACCACCCCCCGCCTGGCATAACAACTTCTCTGGCGGAAACCCTGCAAATACTTAAAGGGATAGTGCACCCAGAAATGAAAATTCAGCCATTATCTACTCACCCATATGCCGACGGAGGCCCTGGTGAAGTTTTAGAGTCCTCACATCCCTTGTGGAGATCGGTGGGGGGAGCGGCTAGCACACCTAATGGCAGACGGCGCCCCAGACAAACGTCCAAGAACACAAAATTGAAACCACAAAATATCTCCAACATGCTCATCCGTAGTGATCCAAGTGTGCTGTAGCCCCAACATAAAAAGTTGTTTTATGAACTCTGTTTTTAGCCTCACTGTAGCCTGTAGCTCTGACTGCTTCTCTGTGCTCCGCGCTCACGTGTGCGCGCTCAGGGTGATCGGTGATGCACGGTCTCTGAAGAGCAGCAGTCTCGTCAGTACTGATGTCCAGATTCTCAAGTGCAGGCATTGCCAATTCCCAGTCTGAGCAGCAAAGACTTTCCTCATCCGTTGGCATTGCTTTGCATTTGAGACAACTACACAACAACACCACCAGGTTTCCAGTGCTCGACTCCGGTATTCTGCGGCTGGCTGAGGGTTAGGCTCATGAGCTGCGGCGGCTGCTTCATCCAGTAGCCTGAGTTCCGTCCGTATACTCGGGCTCAAAGAAATAAGGCTCAACAAAGAAATGCTGTTCCTCCTCAGTTTCAAAGTCTTCAGACATGTTGGGCTGTCCTTTGCTAAAAGACCGTAGTGCAAATTATCTTTTAGCTACTGTGGTTACTGCTGTCTCCCCCTGTGGTGCATGTGTCACTTAATGTAAGCACGGGTGAACAAAGCTCATGCTTTCGCTGGTCTCGCGCAAGAGTGCACACGTGAGCGCGGAGCACAGAGAAGCAGTCAGAGCTACAGGCTACAGTGAGGCTAAAAACAGAGTTCATATGACGTTTTTCGGATGAGCATGTTGGNCCCCCCCCCCCCCCCCGCCGATCTCCGCAAGGGATGTGAGGACTCTAAAACTTCACCAGGGCCTCCGTTGGCATATGGGTGAGTAAATAATGGCTGAATTTTCATTTTTGGGTGCACTATCCCTTTAAGGAGAGAAAGAGGGAAGTCTGCTTAGGGGCCTACCTTGTGAACAAGCTGTGCAATGAACAAGAAGCTCTGGCCTGACACCTCATGCAACAGCCTAATAGCATAATGGATTTCAGTCATTGCTACAATTACACTGATGGGAGACAGAGTTAGTTAGTTAGTTACAGAGTAACTAGTAATGTAACAAGTATTGTAAGTAATTACTTTCTCCAGGGAGTAATCAAGTAAAGTAAGGGATTACTTTCTTCCTAAGTAATGTGCAATGTGTAATACATAAATTTTTTGAGAAACAACACTGACCACAAGGTTCACATTTATGGGTTTGAATGAAATGTTTCAACAACGACTGGATGGCCATAACATTTGGTACATACATTTATGTCCCCCTTGTGGACTGTGATGACTTTGGTGATCCTCTGACTTGTATCAAAAGTAAACATTAACATTATTAAATGTTATTAAACATTATTAAAATAAACAGCAATAGATTGCTGAATTTCTGTGTTGGACTCTAGCCTGCTTCTCCAATCTGGGAATGTGCTGACCACCATCTATGTAATACACTGACTATGGATAAGTTACTCACACAGCCCCACTTTAAAAGATCCGAACTATCCCTTTAAGATCAGAAACTTGGCCAACATGCTGCTGAACTGGTTTTATTTCACTTCCAGTTCAGATTGTCACTTCCTGTCCAAAGTTGTTTCTCTGTACTGTCCATGTATAATTTATAACTTAATATGGGCAAATTGTGTCTTAGTCTTTGAAGACAGACTTTGTGGATTGATTTTTTTACACTGTTGCTATGTCAACACTGTGATCTATGATGATCCTGAGATGCCTGGAGCAACAATATATAGGCTTAATAACTAAAACTGTGTGGACTTTTATTTTTTAGTTGTGCATTTTACATTTAAATGGACTTTATTTTCCCTGATGTGCTTATTTTCTTACAGATTACAAACTGGGGTCACAACCTTTGTAAAATCTCCAGGATGGCCTCAAAGAAAGTTTCTGTCTTCTCGCTGTTTCTTTCAGAGGAGATAAACATCCAAGCTGATTCAAAATACTATTCAAATGTGCAGATAAAAAAAAAGTCAAATCTTATTATGGCTTTTATTTCATAGAATGACACAAGATGCAAAAATATATGGGTGAGCACAGAATATCACACTTCTGTGTTGTGACATTCATTCAAAATCTTGAAATTCCTACAAAACCTTTCAAATGTTGACAATATGTACAGTGTTTAAAAATATTTTCCACATATAAAACCAGATTTTGGTATCAAATAGACTTTATTCATAAAAATAATCAAATAGACTTTACATTTTAAAAAAGCTCCATCACATTCAGAACATTTATAGTAATACATTTGGTTCCAGCTGGAGTAAAAGTCAGTGAAACAGTCATACATTTGAAAACTGTGGAGAGTGTTAAACCGCAGAAGAAGTTTCATCGGTGAACCAGTTGAGCACCTGTTCCTTGTTCATGGCCACCCAGTTCATGTTGGCCTTGGTTCTCTCCAGTGCCTGATCAAGAGACGTGGCAATTGTGCCCAACTGTTCTGCGTTGTCTTCTTTGAACTGCAGCAACTGGAGAGGAACGAGGGGAGGGCGTTACTGGGATATAAGAATGTGTTTTCTACATTCGTATCTACATAACAATGCATGGAGTTCATGCTTGTACCGTACCTGATGCACAGCACCTTGCAAGCATTAGTCTTGTTGCCAATATTACAACACTTTTTTAACTTTATGAAATGACATGCTAGGTCATTAGGTCCTACAGTAAGCATCCACAAATATTACAAAAACTGTACCTGATTGTATTCAAACTCAGAGGAGAATCGTTTGGTCACTCCATTAATTAGCCCTCCAAAGGAAAATGCTCCACCACCATACCTGAAGAAAAGGCAAAAACAAGACAGGCTTTGGTCATTTTGCAAACATCTACAGGCTGCGTAACCAGAACTGTTGGACATTTTGATGTCAAGACTAAATAGACAAGACTGAAAGTCTACAGCCATGCTAACAGCTCAGTGAGGCTGTATTCAGGCAAAGTGATACTTTGAACTAAATGCTACAGCTGGCATGCTAATCTACTCACAATGGCAGTGCTAACATGCAGATGTTTAACAGGTATAATGTTTACCATGTTCACCATTTAGCATGTTAGCATGTTAATGCTAACTAGCAGAGGATTACATCTTGACGGGAATGGCATTAGTTGCTGGGATTTGGTCGTAAACCAAAGTATTGGACAAAGTAAAATGTTGTTAGATAAAAATCAGAGGATTACCAAACCATCCAAGATTCATCCTTTGGACACTGAGGACATCTGTGCCAAGTTTCACGGCAAATCATCCAAAAGTTTTTAGATAGATAATGTAGTCTGGACAAACACCACCTAAAATTATCCCTTTGCCTCCATAGCATCATGTTTAACCCTGACCTCTACCAGCTGAGTTTACTGTAACATTATAAACATAAGTGCATCAGGGAAAACTCACTCATTGTATATATAGTCCCATTTGGCTCTGAGAAAGTCCCATGCCAGAGGTTGACCAATGGGGTTACTAGCAATGGAAATGATGGTGGAGGTGGCATCTTGCTTACGGATCATCTTTGGGTCCAGACAATACTCAAGATACCTGAAACACACACACAGAGTGAGGACAAAAGCCAACTGTGCAGCAATGTTTAACGCAGGACCATCGAAACCCTGCAGTAACCATTCTCCGTCTGCACAGGTGAGTTAAAATGATTAAAAAATTTGATTCTAAAGATGAAATACAAAGGGTCTTTGTTTATTCATTGTGCCCTCAGAACATGCTGCAGAGTGCAAAATGACCTGAAGGAGAGCAATGAGGGAACAAGTAATATCCAGCACGATGGTAACACTACTGACCTGTTCAGCAGCCAGGGCTGTTTGGTGCAGGACAGAGCGGACATGAGTTTATCAGCCTCTGAAGCGATGGTGGCGTTCTTGTACATGGACCAAGCAAAGTCCCACTCATCCACTCCTCCTGCTGCAATCGCACTGCAGTACACTGTGTACTTCAAGTTGGGATTAATGCTAAAAACAATTGATAAAGATGATAGAGAGTCAAAGGCAATGACAGCAGTGGCTAGGGAAGAAATCAGATAGGTCGAGTATAAAGCAATGACAATTTGAGAATTAAAATGTAAACAACTGCTGCACTAACATGTTTAGGAAAATTTCAGAGTGGCAACTTTTCAACAGAACCCACCCCCACACCCCAACATTTCCAAGTGGTTTATTGTTGGTGCCACTGTTGCAAAGAAAATCAGATCGCTTTCCTCTTTCCTCAGAGCCTGAAACTACCAACAACACACTGCATTCTGTTTTTCATTGTTACTTCAATTGTTCTACCGTCTGTCATTTCCACTGCTGGGGCTAATATTGATACTCCCTGTTAACTGGGGATAGCTACCAATGGCTACCGGGGAAAACGATAGTGCCGTCCTCTTCCTGTTTTGGTTACACAATGGTTGATGCACTTCCTTTGTGCTGTAAATCAATCATTTTCCCAAGTGATTGCGGCAGACAGAACTGTATAGTCAAGGCAAGGCTAAAGGAAGCCAACCTCAACACAGATGGTGTCACTATTCTATAGTGATTACACTGTACTATCAACATTCACTTCAAATTGATAAGTTAAAGCAAAAGAACTTGTCTGTGTCCACTTTGAGAGAGTATGGAAAAGAAAGAAAGAAAGAAAGAAAGAAAGAAAGAAAGGAAGGAAAGTGTGGGATGTGAACATACTTGTTGATAGCTGGGTCTTTCATCCACTCTCTGAACCAGCCAGTGGTCAGCTCCTTACAACCTTCCACACCAGTGTTGCAGGCCAAGGAGATAGCATTTATCTGGTTGTACCTGGACATGAGATAATACAACGGTCAAAAGAAAGTTTGAGGAGGGTCAAACCTAAGGACCTCAGAAGTCTGCAAGTCAGAGGCAAGAGAGTAAGATTCCCATGTGTGAGATGCTGCACTTCCGTCCTTGTAGTCTCTTTTTTCAGGTTTATTTTTACCAGTGGTGTACCTTCTTTTACCAGTATTGTGTGTTATGTGTAACATAATTTATTTATTTCTGCACTGTTTATTATTTTTATAAACAGTGCAGCTTTTCAGTGGATCTACACAGAAGTTTTCCTAGAGACAGAATGTAGGTGAAAAAGAAAATAAAGACTCAAAAGGTCAAATATATGTCATTGAGGATTAATGTAAATTAGAGTAAACACCTTAAAGAGACACAGCGTGGAGAAGGTTACTTGAGGTACAGCTTGGGAAGAGTTTTTTAAGAGGATGGGTAGAGTCTTTGGGAATTATCTAGTTTTCTTGTGGGGATAATTAAAGTTTCATCTAATCTACATTGCATTAATCCTCAGGGATCTGGCTTACTATTGCAATGTAAATTGTCAATTTTGAAAAAAAATTAAAAGATTTTATTTGAGTTTTTTTGTGAATCTTGTGCTTGTCAGAGTTTGCCTTCAGGAAACCCCCAGATGAAGGTATCATCCTGTAAATACTACTCTCGGGGGTTTGCAGGACAAACATCAGTCTAGTCTTGATACCATGATGATTAATTATAACAACCAAACACACAAATTGGAGTCTGATCTTCAGGTGATCATTGTAACATTGTGACAGGAGGATATAAACAGAGGTTTATACATGTTAACATCCTTACTGGTCAGTGTGCTTTTTTGGGATGTCTGTCCAGTTGAGAGTGAGCTCTTTGAAGTAGTTAAACAGAGGGGTGACCTGCTTCTTTAGGTAAGCCTGAGGGATGAAGATACACACATTTTGTTAAATTACTGTCAAACATAGAGATGTGTGGCATCCAGAAATGATTACTCAAAGACATGCATTCAAATTGTGTTGCATATGTCAAGTTATATCTTTCCCAGCCCATTTGTCAGAAGAAAAAGTGGGCGTTGTACATTTCTGCAAACATTATATTTACATGTTCCATACGTATCATTTCAAGGATTTTCAAAGTAATGTTTTATGAGCTGACTTTGTCATCTGGAGATGGAGGGGATGGTGGATGGCATGACACCTAGGTAAGATGTGTGCCAGGCTGCGGACCACTGCAGCAGACCATTGGAGACCAACAAACAACAGCACCAGTTGTGATTTAGCACCGAACATGGGTGTTGTGTAGAGACCTGTTCCTGTTTTTCCAGCAACTTTGTTGGCACCAAATGTAGGTGTTTTGTACCAACCAGTTGCTGTGCTTTTAGCGGCTTTTTGGGCACGAAAAGCAGGTGTTTTTTTACCAAAACAATCACTGGTTTACCTGCTGGAACTGTTTCCCCAAAATCCGGTATTTTGAGCCAAAACATTATCTTTCTCTAACTATAACCAAGTGGTTTCTATGCCTAAACCGAACTATGCATTAACCACATCGCTGTTGAAATGTACATTTTTAACGAATCAGCGACTTAGCATAGCATGCCAATGTAACATATTCGTGGTTTGCCAAAACTTACAAGGCAAACATTTATTTCATTTGGGTTGTTTTTTTCCCCATGTTAACCAATCTGCATTCCTTCATATACAGCTTTTGGGGGTCGGCATTGGAATTAATTTATTGAAGAAACATGAGAAATTATGACCATTTATCACAAACCTGCATGGGTCCATACACTTCACTGCGGTCGAACATTAGGAAGAAGTAGTTCAAGTTGCGGCGGGCTGTCTCCCAGGGCATGTATTCGACCTCTTTATTTAGGAACTTGGTAGTTGTCAGAGCCAGAGTTGTCTTCACCATCTTTGCCCTGAATATGGTACATACAATTGTTCAGCTCTCTATTTCAATGTTTGACAACAATGCTTTGTAAGAAATAAAAAAGAACAAAAACAAAAAAAAAACCTCACCTTGCAAGGTTAAAGGCATCATCGATAATTTGAACTCGGTTGATCACTGGAATATCCTGAAAAGTAAACAAGGAATTGAGCTTGGAGGCTTGGATAATTCTTTTAAAGCACTGCTGAAGTAATGCAGCATTCTGTCCAGTGGGAGGTGTTGTACCTGATGTTCGGAGTTCAGCTTGGCAAGGAGACGCTCCCAGTTTTTAGAGTCATAGTTGACTCTGTAGAAGCCCCTCATATTTATGTTGGCCACCAACCACTCATTAGCACCAAGAGTCATATTTGTGTTTGTTGCTGTTTGGATGGAGACGAATAAAGCATCTCTTTTTACTGTGGTCATCAGCCTTGCAATGCTCTGAACGTACACCTGAAATAAATCTTACCTTCTTTGTCAAGAAGCCAGAACATCTCTTCAGCTCCGCCAGACTTAATCCATGTAATGGGGACAATCCACTCATAACTAGAGCCACATCCATCCAGCCATACATGTATATATGGAGAGAGCAGGTGAGTTTCTTATGACAGGGTTAAATATGAGCACATACAATATATTCAGCACATCCACATAAAACACTAAGAATGTTTCCTACTTGTATGGTGAGGGTCTGTCCACTTCAGAGTCTGGGTCCAACAGGAAGTGTTGCTGGGTAATTTTTCCGGTCTGGGTGTCGATGGTGACCACTGGGAAACCCATCTGTAGTATCCAGCGGTTCATGATATCCTCCAAAGAGTGGGGCAGATCTATACCTGCTTCATGCACTGCCTGATAAAAGGAACATTAAAATATTACTATATAGTATTATGACTTTTTGCTGCTCCCTGCAGAGGAATTCTTTTACTTTTTTAGATATTTTAATATTTCTTCAAGGTGTCATGACCTTTTTCTTCACTGAACATGGGAGCAGCTGGTCTACTAGAGTCTATACTGATGGTTTGATTGTGTTATTGTGTGATTTTGGTGCTTTAAAAGGTTAGTTTGAATTCACCAAAGTAACACAATAACACCAAAAACTACTAATTGAGACAGCAATACACCAGCAGCTCCCGTGTTCGGCAAGATAAAGTTATCGTTTTTGTTAAGGGAGTCTGGCTCTGAAGAGAGCATAGCTCAGTTGCCCGCTAGAAAGAACTGCCTGTTTGGGAAGTACTGAGCATAAAACTGGATTGATGAGACTTGGATTGCAAGAGTTGTGTGAGAGTCTATAAAAGGATGCTTTGCTATAGTTGTGACGCTGGTAAATGTGGTTGCCAATGACTTCAACTCATCAAGAATTTCTTTGTTTTGGATTCTTCATCCACCAGAGGCATGCAAGAATAATCAAACTTTTCTTCACAAATTGAACATAACACAGGATGATTAACTGATACACAGATGGTTGTTTGGGGGTAAAGTATTCCTATAAGACGCTTGTCATACCAGAACAGGCTGTAGCACCCGGCAGACTGAACTATGCAAAGGCGTTCTGTGTCTAATAAATTCGAAGAAGCACATGCTCACTTTTTCTTTCAAAAGTTACATAATAACACTTCACAGCTGCACTGATCAATATTTTATATTAAGATATGAATATGACAATATGAAGTCATTGTAGACTTATGTTGCCTGCCATTTGCCAAACAACAGAAAAACGAGAGAAAACAAGTTAGCCACTAGCATGGTGAACATAGCGGAGAATTTAGCAGCTAAAGAGCCAGATATTTCCTTCAGGAGTTGGTGGAGACCAAAATCAAGCTAATAGGAGAGTGAATATTGGACCTTGATTTTTCTGGTACCCAGAAACATGACTCCAAATGAATATTAATGCTTGCTGCTGGATGTTGTAAAAGGCAGCTGTTTGCTAACATGTTAGCCAGCGAGGTGATAATACATCAGTTTTGTGTTAACAGCTTGTTGGGCCGCTCTGAAGTTAGAAAAAAAAAAAGATTATTCCTGCTTTAAGGAACACTGTTTAAGATTAAGGGGGATTTAACAGCATCTAGCAGTCATTAATTTTACGTAACTTCTCATCCTGTTAGGGGTCGTGGGGAGGCTGGAGCCTATCGGGTAAGAGGCAGGGTACACCCTAGACAGGTCCCCAGACTATCGCAGGACTAACACATAGAGACAGACAACTATTCACACTCACATTCACACCTACGGACAATTTAGAGTCACCAATTAACCTAATGTAGCAGTGAGGAATGTAAATTGCAACCAGCTAAAAATCATCCTACTAAGATTTCCTTCAGTGTTCATTATTCAGCAGAGATCTCCCCCTCTCAGAAACAAATGCACCCAGTGATTTAAACCAGTAAAAATAATGAATACAGCAGTTTCATGTTACAAATCAGTGTTTCTCTGGTGCTATTTGGCATGTCAGAGACAGTGTGCTCATCTTTTTTCTGTGATAACTTAAGATCAAGTTCAGGAGGTTTTTACCGAGAGCCAAATTATCCATAGAGGTCTCCTACTCTCCAAATCAATGGGCCCACTGATTTAAACTGGCAAAAACACTGAATAAAGCAGTTAATGTAAAAATTCAGTGTGCCTGACGCTCTTGTCGCAGAGGGACTGTGCGCTCTGTAGCCAACACGAAAATGCAAATAGTCCTATCTATAGCCAGTGTTTGGTTTGTTTGTTCTGGGCTGCTGTAGAAACATGGCAGTACAACATGGCCATATTTGTGGATGAGGACCTGCTCCCTATGTAGAAATAAACGGCTCATTCTAAGGTAACAAAAACACGACGATTCTTAATTTCAGGTGAATATACACAAAAGAAAACATACTTGTTATATTATATTCCTCTGCTGCCAATATTTCCCCTTAAATCCTACACACTGGACCTTTAACATAAATGAATAGGTACCTCACAATGATTTTAAAGGCATTTTCGTTTGAAGTAGCTGTTTTGTGGAGCATAAGTAGTCATTATGATGATGCTATCTTACCATTTGCAGGTGCTTCCAGAGGTCTGTGTAGACTGCGTTCTTGTACTTGAACTCCTCTAAGTACGTCTGCAGACAAATAACACAACGACCTACTGGTTATGCTCGAGTTGTGCTTTTTGTGGTGAACAAAAGAATTAGTTGATGTTCACAAAATTGTGTTCCAAGAACATTAACAAAATACTTAACAAATTTTAATCTGTTGTACTCACGCTAAGTCCTTTGGAAAAGACAGTCTCAGTGATAAACTCTGAGAGCATCCTGAGGACTGCAGCTCCCTGTAATGAAACGCATGAGGATATTAGCAGTGTCTGTGGGTGATATATAAGATGGGACAGAATTACAGCATTCTGTTAATGAGGATCAGTGATTCATTAGGACTTTAATTCTGTAGCTCCCAAAGAGTGTCAAGAGTCCTTGATTAGGGTCACTCGGGGAAATGTGAACATTTTAATTCATTCATTCACAATACATTCGGGTGAGGAAGTTGTGATGTGTTGTCCTCAATTATAACACACCTTGCTGTATGTGATGGAGTCAAACAGTTGACCGATGTCCGCTGGTGTCAGGACGTCCTCCTCTTGGGAGGAGAGGGGGTGGGAGGAGGCCAAGGCATCCACACCCATCACACCAATGATCTCATTCAGAACTATTAAATCTGTCTGGAAAATACACTGAGAAATATTTGTTATGTTTTGCATTATGGCATGAGCGGACACAATTTCCGATCAACACGTATGTTCAGTATATCCAGCAGGTCTCAACCTGGATGTGTTTCCAGAAGAGAACACAACTCACCATATTCCACAGTGGTTCAGCATAGTTGGCTCCAAGATAAGAGACGTATGTGGCAAAGCCCTCATTGAGCCACAGGTCATTCCACCACCTCGTGGTCACCAAGTTTCCAAACCACTGAGAGGACAGAGCTTCATTTTAATGCCAGGTTTTTAAAACCCATTTCAAAGCTAGACACAGTTACTATTAAAGATATGACTGGCAGTACACCACTGAATGTCCTCATACCATATGAGCGAGCTCATGCGAGATGTTTTTTGCCACTTACTCCTTGTCTTTATTGGATGACACGCCTTGATTATATAGGAGGGTAGTTTCTCTGTAGGTGATCAGGCCCCAGTTCTCCATGGCTCCAGCACTGAAGTCAGGAAGTGCGATCTGGTCTATAAACAGTTACAGTATTTAATGTAAAAATGCGGTCTCTGTAGACAGATCATTCTTGTTTTCCCGTTTTGTGTGTGTGTGTGTGTGTGTGTGTGTGTGTGTGTGTGTGTATGTGTGTGTGTGGTTCCTACCTGACTTGCTCAGAGGGTAAGAAGAGTTGTAGTACTTCTGAAAGAATGCCAGTATGGGCCCAGTCTTCTCTAGGGCATAGTTTCCCTGGCCCTCCTCTATAGCCTTCCTGCGAGCCCAGATCCTGATCTAAACACAAACGGTCCCTTATTAATTTGAAAGAATAAAAAGGTAAGGTAAACCAGAGACCTGAGCTGAGCTTTAACTCCAGCAGAGGGCAGCACAGAAACACTGTGACCACCAGGAAGGCAAACGACAGACAAGCCAACATCTTGTATTTGTATTGGTAGTCGTGGTTGTGGCAGTGGTTAATAAAACTGCTAACCCTAACCCAATCAATTATACAAACAGAAACTGTTAAATCTGAAATAGATGCATAGATACACAATTAAAATTAGACCACTGTATGGTCCAGTCAGTACTTTCAAAGCACCTGTTTAGTGGACTAATCCATGGTATGAGGGGACCAAGTTCACAGTGGACCTATTCCACCAAACACCTTGAATGCCATGGAAATCCATTGTATTAAGTTTCATGCATTACTTCCTGAAATTAATGCAGCAATTCTCCTTATGTTCCCTCTCAAACTGGGCATCAACATACAGATCAGATAAGTTGGGCACATGTTTATTATAGACCTATGAATGTGAATATTGTAGATGTTGTGTACCCATATCCATCTGCAGGGTTTCGACTGTAAGATGTTATAAATAATTACCAAAACTTCTGCATCAGGAGTCGATGTATTGAATGCAAAATCGGACACAACAAAAGCCAGCAAGTAGGTTGACATAATCGGGGTGGGTTCAAAACTTGTCTGAATGTGTCCATCCACAGGAGCGTTAACAGGCTCTGTGTGGGGAAAGAGACAGCAACAGATTAATTACAAATGAAAAAATGAGGACAAATAAGCTACTGTATGAAGCAGAATATGTTATGTTTGCTGTTGTTGTAAATTAAATCTGGACATACAAAAATGTAGTTGAGGACAGGTATGTTGCACTTTAAGTTTTGTGTCACTGAGAAATGTTGCACATAGACAGTTCACATGTAAAATGCTGCACTGGGCACTGACACACACTGAAACTTGCCATAGTTCATGCCGTTGGACAGAGCCACAGTGTCATGGGGGTGAATGAGAGTCATGTGAAAGACAGCTTTCATAGCGGGCTCATCGAAGCAGGGGAAGGCTTTCCTGGCATCCGTTGGCTGCATTTGAGTCGTGGCCACAACTCTGACAATAGCAGATAATCATAATTAACACCCACATCAAAAGTTAACCCTCAGTCCTTAGATACTCTCACACTGTAGTCCCTGTTCAATCTCTTCTGAGTTTTTTTTTTTTTTAATTTTTAAATTTTTTACTTA